GAAGCCGCCCCAGCGGGAGCCTCCGGCGCCCCCTCCCGGGGGGTCTGGCGCCCCTCGGCTCTCGCTTCCTTTCGGCCGCTGGAGAGGGTGGGAGCGCTCCTGAGAGCCCCTCGGCTGACCCAGGGCCCCAAGCTTTTGAGTAAGCACGAAGGACCCGCTGGTCACCTGGGAGGCGGGAGCTTTTGGGGGGGCCGTGTCAACAGGGGCTTCCGGGACAGGGTCCCCACGTGGAGGGCACCCCAGAGCTGCCGGGGTGGAGAGCCCCTGTGCGCCCCATGCTGGGGAGGACCAGGCAGCTCCTTGGAGTCTGGGGGGCCATGGCACAGCCCCCATTTCCTGCACCTGGGTCCGGGCTGCACAGGCGGGACCAGTCAGATGACGACCATCGCCGCAATGTCACACGACAGGATGTGCACAGCCGGGAAAGCCCAGAGAGCAGGGCTGTCCCTTAGCATCAGCCTGCCTGGGGGGAGGGGGTGCTGCTGTCTGGGGGCTCGGAGAGGGCCGCGGCAGGTGCAGAGGGACCCGGTGAACCAGAGGCCACGGGACCCCAGACCCAGGGACTGCTCCTGCACGTCCGAACGCGTGTGGCCTCCCCAACAGGGAGTACAGGGCTGGAGTCTATGCTATGGAAATTGAAGGGAGGCCCGTGTGGGGGAGGGGAGGCCACCTTCGAGGGAGGGGCGGGGGAGGGCAGGCTAGTCATGCAGGAGGGGTGGGGAGACCCCCTGGCTCCTTCAGCCCATGGGGCACTGCCAGGCCTCCTCGCAGCCCCCTGGCAGGTCACAGCGCCCCTTGGAGCAGGGGCCCCAGCACGCTGGTTGAGGAAACAGTGTGAGGCGGAAGTTGGCGAAACTGCGTTTATTCCCCGAGGTCAGTGGGGCCAGGTGCCCATACCCCAGATGCCCATGCCTGCCAGGCTGGGCTTTTTATATAGAAATGTCCCGCCCACTCGCAGCCTGAGCTCAAGATCTACCCATCTGGGCAGCAGCTTCTTGGGCGGCAATTGTCCCAGAGGCCATGGGTTTCCTGAGGCCCTGAGGCCCGACCCCACAGGAGGCGCCAGCTCCACAGGCCATCTTGGGACATCTCAGGGGCAGAGCTGGTCAGGGAACCCTTCAGCCCAACACATCCGCTCTCCACCCCATCCCAGTCCCATCCTGCAAGGCTGGGTACTTCTGGGACAGCTGAGGCACTTGGTGAGGACTCACTCCCAGCTACCGGGAGGCTGCGGTCCCCTGACGGTCTCAGGTCCCAACAGGTCCAGCTGCCACACCAGCCGCTGAGTCCTGCGAGGCACCCCTTCCCTGAGTGGCAGTGGGTCCCGAGGTGCTGCGGTCATGCAGCTAGTTTCGGCAGGCCATCGAGGCCCAGGAGGTGGGTGTGGGGGTCGTCCAGGACTTGAGGCCCTGGCCCCACCTGTGAATTGAGAGATGGCGTCAGGTCATGGTTTTGGCAGAACCTGCCCCGCCCAGCTGGGGGTCTTGGGCAGGTGGCCAGACACCAGGACAGGGGGAGCCGAGGGCAGGGTATCCTGAGGTCCCAGCCCATTCCAGGGGCCCCTCCCACCCATAACCAGCCCCGCCCTGAAGGCAAACGGACCAGCCCAGCGTGTGGGTGGCAGCCTGAGCCTGCAGGCCCTGTGAGCCCACAGTGCCCGCCTCACCTGGGTGGCAATGACATATCTGACCCCGCCAGGCACCGGTTCCATGGCTAGGGCGGCCTTCAGCTCGTCTGAGAGAGGAACGGGCCTCACAGGCAACCCCTTCAGAAACCTGGGGGCGGGACGGCTGTGAGTCCATGCCTGAAAGGCATCCAGGGACAGGACGGACTCATGGGTGTCAGGGCCAGAAGGGAAGGTGGGTGGCGCTGCTAGGTACAGGCCTCTTCAGGGCGATGGAGACGTGCGGGAGGTAACTAGAGGGGTAGCCACACAGGCGATGCCACGGGATGGTCAGTTGTGACCTTCGGGTCATGGGCATTTTACCAGAAACACCGCAAAGATGCTCAGGGGTACCAAGGACCTGGTCAGGTCCCTTGAGGGGGCTGCAGGGTTCTCCTCTGGCCCATGGCTGCAGCTAAGGGCCTCAGGGCAGGTGCACGTCACCACGCTCTTGACAGTGGACACCGCACACCACCGCTGGGCCACAAGGGCCAGGGCTGGGCTCCCGACAGGGCAGTCCTGGGCTGTAGGAGGCTGGGACTCTCAAAGCCATTTCTGCCCCTCAGTTGGGATAGAAACCCCCAGCCGGGAGGCGGTCTCGCTGAGAGAAGCAAGCATGCCAGGAGGGAGACTTGGGCTCCTGGGGCCAGATTTGGCCATCGACTCCACCCAAAAGACACACTCAGCGCAGGCAGCTTGAGCCTGTCTGAGATGGAGAGCAGGGCTCTATCTCCTTTTCTACAAAGCGTTAGCTATCTAGCACTCCCACAGGATGCGGGCTCTGAGTGGCGGGGACCCAGGCATCGATCCCACACTGCATGGCCTCTCTGTGCCTGTGGAGTGGGCTGAGATGGCCCCACGAGACACACGGTCAGTGGTCCCCCTACAGACTCCCCGGTTTGGCGCTTGGCCCTCAGGTGTGGCACTGCCTCCCAGGAAGGATGGGGGGAACCCCCACTCACGTGTCTCCGTTCGACTCAGGGGGGAAGCTGTGCTTCACGGCGGCCAAAAACTCGGCCACAGTGTCATCCAGGGTGAAGATCACAGCGTTGGGGCCCGCATCAAAGGTGTATGCCGCCTGGAACCCAGAGGTCACCAGCAGTTCACACAGAACCCGCCCCCGCCTCAGCCCCACCCTGCCCTGTCCCCACCCTGGCCCTGTGATCTTCCAGGGGCACCTGCAGTCCCAGGGCCCGGACGTGTCCCCTCTGCCCATGGGGCTGTGACCCAGGCAAGTCAAGACACAAAAGCAAACAGTCAACTGGTGGTCGGAGTCCAGCTTGGGCAGGGGAGGCTCACAGACAGAGACTTCGTGAGGGTGGCCTCCGCCCACCCAGTCCAGCATCTGCCTGGCGTCACCTTGGTGTCCCCGTGGTGGGTGTTGAAGCGGTGCACCAGTTGCATGATGTGCCGGGAGGTGTCATTGAGGTAGCAGATGGGCGGGAAGGTGTCCAGGCAGGTGGCGTGGAACTGGTTGCTGTCCTTCATGGTGAGCTGCGCGAAGCCGCAGAAGTCACGCTCTCGGATGCAGCGGGCCATTTCTGCCATGCGTGCGGGCACCACTGCCTCGGCCCGGAACTGCAAGGCACAGGCGTTTCCAGGGAGCCGCCGGGGCCTGGGCGGGGGCTCAGGGCACAGCCTACCCTCCCTGGCTCCTCCTGGACCGCCTCACCCGCAGCAGGGCACTGGTGTCCACGCTGGCCTGCATGCCTGCCGTGCTGCTGGTCGGCTTCTTGTCCGCGCTCACCTGCCACAGGATGGGGAGGGGAAGCCGCTGGGCCACACACGCAGGGGCTACGTCCACCCCTGGCCCCGAACATGCATCCCCTCCCGGTGCAGGGAGCAGGGGTGTCAGCACCTCCTGTCACAGGGTTTCCCACCATGGCCGAGGTGAGCCTGGGGTCGCCAGCTCCCAGCTCAGGAGGGCAGCAGCCTCTGTGGGTAGGGGGCCGCTCCCCAGCGCCCCCAGGAGCCTATGGAGCTCAGGCCAGACACTCTCCCCTCGTTCCCAGCAGTGGCCAGACTTCTGGAAAAATGCCCCCTGGTACTCCCTGCCCAGCCCCACTCACCACAAGGATGAGGATGCGGAGTTCAGGCCAGTGGGACTCGGGGGCCACCTGCCGGGCCACGCTGTCCTTCCCGTCGGCCTGCTGCCCCATCTGCCACTCCACGAAACCCCCATACAGGCTCCGGCAGGCGCTGCCTGAGCCCCGGCGGGCCACTTCCGAGAGGTCGCTGTCCACCCCGTAGACCCGGGCCAGTGTGTAGGCTGCAGACAGGGAGAGCACTCAGGGCAGCCACGCTCCCCGGCAGCCCAGCCATGTGGCCTGGGCCACTTGCCTCCCGGCAGCCCTGGCTGGCCCACCCCATCACTCCGCATCCCCCACAGGCAGGCCCCAACCCATTCGCCCGTGGCGCCTTATAGGCTGAGACACAAACCATCCACAGGCCATCAGGCAAACTGGCTGGGCCAGGAGGCTGCTCAGGACACAGAGCCACCCAGGGGCTGGACACAGCTTCTCCCAGGATAACCCCGAGTTGGGCTCTGAGAATGGGATGGGGTTAGAAGGTCACCTGGAGCAGGGACAGAGGCTGGAGGGAGGGCGGCAGCCCAGGCCGAGGGCAGCAGCGGCTGGGCCCGGCCCAGGGTTTGACCAGGACAAAGCTGGCTTGTGGGGCAAGCTTCCCGCCCACCCAGCACTCGGGCCAACCCCACTCTATCCATGTATCCGGTGGGGGATCCCGCCTCCAGGGTCACCCACAGCCCTGGCCACTGAGGGTAGCTCAGGGTGGGCTCAAAGCCCAGTGGGCCAGGAAGCACCATCTCTGCAGCGAGGGTGAGGCGGTATGTGCACCCCCTGTGGTGCTGGGCTTGGCCCCCTGGTGGCCTGAGGCAGAGAAAGCAGGGCTGAGGCCTCAGGAGGACGCTGATGTGCCTGAAGCCAGCTGCAGTCTAAATGCTCCTCTGTGAGCCACAAAATCACCCCTATTTTTAGGTCTGAGCCTGTGGGACATGGCGCCTGTCACTCAGCCCAGAGGGGCTGCCCGGTCCAGCATGTGTTCGGGGAAGAGACTCATCACCCGTAGGGAGGCTGGGCGGGGCTCGGCAGGGCCCTCGATGCTCTCCGGCGGCTGCAGCCCAGGCCCCGGGTCCCGTGGGCACCCACCTAGGCAGGCATAGCCCGCCGCCGAGGAGGCCAGGCCCGCAGCTGTGGGGAAGCTGTTCACCGATGCCACGTGCACCTTGTAGCTGAGGCTGAGGGGCAGCATGTCCCCGTCCTGTGCGCTGCGCCGCTTCCGGGCCAGACGGCGGACTGTGGAGGGGCGCGAGTGAGCGTGTGGCCCGGCTGTCGGCACGCCCTTCCCCTGCCCCCTCCCACCAGCAGGGTCCCAGCCCCTCACAGCCCCCCAACCTGCAGTCCTGGTCTCTCCCCCAACAGCTCGCACAAGATTCCTGTCCCAGGAAGCACCGGGCCCAGTCCAGCCGGCTCCCAGCTGCTCTTGCCACCCCAGCAGGACATCTGTATGGGAGGGTCCACGCCCACGACAGGAGGGGGGGCGCCCAGGCCTGACTCACTCTCCTGCAGGCAGGCCTGCAGCCGCAGCTGTCCAGTGTCCTGCTCCTGCCCGTTGAGCCACACGCGGTCCTCGGTGAAGTCCTTGCTGATAGCAGCCGTCGTGGTGGTTTTTAACTGGGAAGAGACACGGGGCCACCTCAGAGCCGGGCTGGGGACCAACCCCAGGGCAGGTGTGTGCGCATGTGTGATGAGACCAGGTGCGTGTGTTGTGGGCCTTGCGGTAGCTGCTCCCACCGTGAGGCGGCATCGCTGAGTCGCGGGCTCCCCTAGTCCCAGTCAAGTCTCGCAGCTCACCTGTTCCTGGTGCAGGGTGACGCTCAGGGACGAGTTGAGAGGCAGGATCAGCTCCTCATCACGCTTCCCCCCTGCGGGGACACCACGGTCAGGCCAGAGGGTTTCGGACCCCCTTCCCAGTGCCCCCACAGCTGCCCCCAACCCTCCCACGGCCCCACCCCAGTCCTGCTCTCTCACTGCGTAGTCTAAGTCTTCCTCCCCGGGGCCCCCACCTTCAGGAAGCCCCCGGATTGCTTCTGCCTCGCTGAGCCTCCCCCTTCTGTTTCCTCTTCCCTCGCTCAGTGGAGCCTGTGAGCCTCAAGGGGCAAGTGTGTCCCTTACGGCCCTGCCGCCCCCACCATCAGCCTGCCTCATCACTCCTGAACCCTCCAGCCCACTGCACATCCCCTGGGCTGTCCGGAGCGCCCACCCCCGTCCACTTGAGTGTCAACAAGCCAGCCTGCCCAAGGCCTGAATGAATGCCGCAGCCCAAGACATCACAGCCAGGAGACCCTCGGTCTGCACACGGCACACACGTGTCTGGGGGAGGTGGTCAGTGCCAGGGCCCAAGGGGTGGCTCTGCTAGCAGCTCTCCAGGTAGAGGTGCGGCTCAGGTGGGTGGGCAGGTGCCTCTGGAGGAGGCGGTTGGACTCGCCCCTGCTCCCATGGAGGACGGCCAAGACCCCATCCGGCTCAGTGGGGCTCGTGGTGGGCTCCTCTCTGCCCGAGGCAGCTGGTATAGCCTCGGGTACAAGGCCCAGCCAGGGCACCTTGAAGGTGAGCCAGACTCCCACACTCCAGGTCACAACGGTGCTCCGCCCTGCCCTCCCTGAAGGGACAGCTCTAGGCTGGCTGCACCACATCTGGGGTGGGGGCAGGGGGGCTTGGTCCACACTCCGGCCGGAACCAGCAGTCTCAAGCCCGCACCCCTCCCTCACTTTCATGACATGAAAACCAGCCTAAACAGGTTTGGACAGACCTAGAGTCTCAGAAGTTCCATGAAGATGTTGGGCTCAATTAAGTCTCACTGTGAGGAAAGGCCAGCCCCCACAAGCCAGGACCACCTGGCAAAACTCCAAGGCAGCCTGTAGGCAACTGCAAACGCACTGGAAACAAACAAAACAGATGACTCTGCAGAGAAATGGAGGAGCTGGAGAATAACAGAAACTGGAGAAGTGAAAACACAGTAACCAAAGTGAGAGGCAAGAAAGATCCCATGACCACATCAACAGACGAAAAGGCAGGTGTGGCGGCTCACGCCTGTTGTCCCAGCACTTTGGGAGGCCAAGGAAGGAGGATCACCTGAGTCTGAGACCAGCCTGGTCAACATGGTGAGACCTTGTCTCTACAATAAATAAAAAAACTGTCCAGGTGTGGTGGCATGTGCCTGTAGTTCCAGCTACTTGGGAAGCTGAGGTGGAAGGATAGCCTGAGCCCAGCAGGTCAAGGCTGCAGTGGCCGTGAGTGTGTCACTGCACTCCAGCCTGGGCGACACGGGGAGACTCCTACTCAAAAAAAAGAAAACATAGACACAGAAAAAACATTTGACAAAAATCAATGGCCACTCATGATTAATTAAAAAAATTCTCAGAAAAATGGGAATGAAGGGAAATTTCTTCAACTTGTTAAAGAACATCTACAAAAAACCTTCTTGTGGGATGAAAGAAGAAATATCATCACTGGGAATGAGGCAAGGGGGTCCACTCTCAAAAATACAGTTCTGGAGGCTCTGAGTAAGGCAAAAATGAAAATAAAAGGCATGGTGGCTCAGCCCATAACCCCATCACTTTGGGAGGCTGAGGCGAGTGGACTGCCTGAGCCCACAGGTTCAAGACCAGCCCAGGCAACTTGGAGAGACCTTGTCTCTACAATAAATCAAAAAAAATTGCCAGGTGCAGTAGTACGTGCCTGTAGTTCCAGCTACTTGGAAGGCTGAGGTGGAAGGATCGTCAGAGCCCAGCAGGTCAATCTGGGGTGGCCGTGAGCGTGCCAGCCTGGGCAACGGAGTGAGACTCCAAAAGGAAAGAAGGAAGGAAGGAAGGAAGGAAGGAAGGAAACCATCCCTGCTTGTAGATGGCATGACCGCCTACAGCGAAAATCGCAAAGAATCCACAGAACCTCTAAGGATCAATGAGTAAGCTGGGCAGGTCTGCAGTACACAAGCTCAACACACAAAAATCAACCATTTTTCTATATCCTAGCAATGAACATGTGGCCATTGCAAGTAAAAATATGTGCCAGCCGGGCGCGGTAGCTCACGTCTGTAATTCCAGCACTTTAGGAGGCCAAGACCGGTGGATTGCTTGAGCCCAGGAGTTTAAGACTAGTCTGGGCAGCATAGCAAGACCCCATCTCTACAAAACATAACAAAATTAGCCAGGTGTGATAATGTGTGCTTATAGTCCCAGTTACTCAGGAGGCTGAGACAGAAGGATTGCCTGAGCCCAGGAGGCTGAGGCTGCAGTGAGATGTGATCGTGTCACTGCACTCCAGCTTGGGCGACAGAGTGAGACACCGACTCAGAAAAAAAAAAATGTGCCATTTACCATCTCAAAAAAAGAAACGTGTAGGTGTAACTCTAACAAAACACGTATAGACCTGTAGGCTGAAAACTAGGCAACACTGCTCAGAGAAGTCAAGGGAAGTCTAAACATGTAGAGATACAGACCACGTCCACAGATACGAAACTCCACATGGCGACGCTGCCAGATCTTCCCCGACTGAAATGCAGGCTTAACCCAATACACAGCAGAGCCCAAGCACTTCTTGTACACTTAGAAAGGATAAGCTGTAACTTCAGGCGAACGCAACACAAGCAGACTACAGACCAGCCCCCCCCATGTATAAAGAATAAAGGGGTCAGCTCTGCCCAGTCCCAGAACTGACTACATGGCCAGAGCAATCTAGACACTAGTGGTGGCCGAGGGACAGACACAGCCAAGGGACCGACCCGGAAGCACAAACCACAAATATGTGCAACTGATTTTTCACAAAGTACAAAAGCAATTCCAAGGGGGAGGACAGCCTTTTCAACACAAGGTTCTGGGTAACTTTCTGCATCAGCAGAAAGAAGAAACTTCACCTGGCTTATGCCTCAGAGAAAAAAAAAAAAACAACCTCACAATGGACCACAGACTTACATGCAAAGACAATCCCATGCAAGTCAGAAAAAAGGCAAGAGCATGTCTCCAGGAGTGCAGCTATGCACAGGGTCTTAGACCCGACATCAAGTGTGAGACCTGAAGGGAAGCCCCGACACTCTGGCCTCTGTTAAACCGGAGACCCCAGCCCTGGGACGCCATTAGTTTAGGAGCAGATACTTGCAAGCCACCAACCCAACAGAGCATTCATCTCCGGAACAGCCTGACTGCTCAGAACGCAGCGGCCTTGCCGAGTAGACAGGGACAGAGGACATGCAGGCCTCAGGCAAGGAGGAAAGGTGCTTCTGTCATTGGCCATGTGCAAATTAAAAATTGCATGGCCGGGCTCGGTGGCTCAGCCTGTAATGCCGCGCCTTTGGGAGGCTGAGGTGAGTGGATTGCCTGAGCCCGCGGGTTCGAGACCCGCCTGGGCAGCGAGACCTCATCTCTACAATAAATAAAAAAATCAGCCGGGCGTGGTGGCGCATGCCTGTAATTCCGGCTACTCGGAAGGCTGAGGCGGAAGGATCGCCGGAGCCCAGCAGGCCGAGGCTGCAGTGGCCGGGAGCAGCCACTGCACTCCAGTCTGGGCGACAGAGTGAGACTCCGACTCAAAAAAAAAAAATTGCATGGAAACACACGTAACCATACACTCGTCAGACTCAAATAAAACGTGGCAGCAGCACCTCCATCTGGTGAGAACGTGGAAAAGCTGGACTACTGCAACCGTGGCTGGGAACTTATTTGTAAAACCACACAGTTACTGTGGGGAACAACCTGGCAATGTCTTAAAAAATAAAAATAGACATGAGACCAGAGACAGCGGCTCATGTCTGTACACCCAGCATTCTGACAGGCCAAAGCAGGAGGATCACTTGAGCCCAGAAATTCGAGACCAGGCACATTTTTTTTTTCTGAGTCAGGATCTCACTCTGTTGCACAGGTTGGAGTGCAGAGACACAACCACAGCTCACTGCAGCCTCAGCAACATAGCAAGACCTCATGTCTACAAAAAAAAAAAGATCTGAGCCGGGCTCGGTGGCTCAGCCTGTAATCCCGCGCCTTTGGGAGGCTGAGGCGGAAGGATGACCGGAGCCCAGCAGGTCAAGGCTGCGGTGGCCGGGAGCGGCCACTGCACTCCAGTCTGGGCGACAGAGTGAGACTCCAACTCAAAAAAAAAAAAAAAAAGATCTGGGCGTGGTGGTGTATGCCTGTTGTACCAGTTACTCAGGAGACTGAGGCAGGAAATGGGAGGATGGCCTGAGCCCAGGAGGCTGAGGCTGTGGTGAGCTGTGATCCTGCCACTGCAGGATCCTGGGGGACAGAGTGAGATCCTGACTCAAAGATAAAATAAACACGCAATACGGGGAGACGCAACACGTGCACTCTTGGCGATTACCCACCCTACAAGATGTAAAGCGTGTGTCCCCACGAAAACATGGCCTTAGCTCTGGGGCAGCCTTGCTCGTAATAGACCCAAACTGGGGAAGCGCAGGGCCCTTTGGGGGTGAAGGTGAGACGGACCAGGGCCCATGTGTGTCCCTTGGAGTCAGCAGCAGCAGCGACAGTCACGAACATCCCAGCACCTGGGTCCATCTCCAGAAAGTCGTGCTGGCTAAAACAAGCAAACCCGAGAGACCCCGCGGCGATTGCCTGCAGGGCCTTCTGGAGAGAATCACAGACAGGGATGGCCAGTGGCTCCCAGGTGACCCCGCAGGAGGGAGGGGCGTGGCGGTGAGAGG